CTTTCCTGGAAAGACCAAGAGTGCAATATCACCTCGATGGCACTTGAGTTATTCCTGCGTGGCCATTTCCGATGTTTTAAATTTCAGATTTCCCTGCCAGGGCAGGAAGAGTTAAAACAGCCGACAGCGCGCCTGCTCTCTCCTGCTCTGGATTCCGTGTCTCCCCAGCCTCCCGCGTAACTGAATCTCAGAAAACAGAACTATCATGCCCCAGGGTGGGAAACATGATGTTAATAGCATTTCTAGCCGAGAAAACCAAGGTTCCTAAAACGTCGCTGACTTTTCCTATGTTACTGAGTGGCAAAGTTAGGACCTGTTACCCAGGTCACCTAAAAATTCTTGTTCTTCCCGCTCCCTTGGAGATGATTCCACCCCTCTAACACTCCCTTCTCCCGCCCGTCACTCGAGGTCATCGCCCCAGCAGCTTGAGCATCTCCGCGCGGGCTTGTGCGCACCGCCCTGACCACGCGCGCGCCGGGCATCTCACCTCAGCCGGGCAGGTGCAGAGGTGGCGGCGCAGCAGTGGTCGGTCATTCGGCCGAAGGGCAGGAGTCGGCTGGCCGCCTCTTTCTGCTGCCCGGTGGCGGAGGGGGCAGAGAAGCGGGGTGGGGGGCGGGGGGGTGACAGGACTGGAGAAACCGCCGTCAGCGGGTCCCGGCCCCGCCTCCCAAACACACCGTCCAGGAAAGCTCGTAACTTTCCATTGTCTGAGGAGCTTCACTAAACACATTGTCCCTATAATTACGGGGCCACACAGAAGATAGGATAACTGAGGGGGTAAAGGAGGAAAGCGGGCCTGGACCGGCCCTGGAGGAGCCCAGTGACAGGAGCCTGCCTGCTGGGATGTGTGACAGGAACTCCCCTCCGCCCGGGGCCCCGCAAGGAGGGAGGCCCCGAAACACCTCAGTACTTCCCCAGCTGCAGTCATGGAGCTGAGCACCGGGGAGGAGGGGGTCGCCCAGGACCGGCCTCCCGGGTTCTGGATGGGCAAGGGGCCACAGTCTCGAAGCTACGGGCTTCTGGGAGAGCCGGGGAACTTGTTGCTTGCAAGACACGGTGCCGGAGAGTCGATTCCAAGAGGCAGGCTTCCCAGATATTGAATTTGTAATGACCCCCACCCTAGACGGTGGCGGGCGATGAAACTTCCCTTCCTTTCTCGCAGAGAAGTTACACTTGCCCCCTCCAGATACACGCTTTCCTATCTCGGCAAATCTCGCGCGTCCCACTTGCCCCCCCGCACTCGCCTTCCTGCAGCGTGCAATGCCCTTAGCCCCACCGCGCCCTTGGAGGTGGGTTCCTAAGAGGTTTAGACACTCTCCGAATGCAAGTCTTCTATTCTCACCACACTGGGTGAAAAACAGTCAGCCTTCTCTCAGGCAAGAGCCGCGGGTGGGCGCAGACCCGACTCACTGGGCCAACAAGTCGTCAGCTAACCTTGCACGAGTCTCTTGATTACCAAGTCCACATTTCCCGTTTGTAAAATTAGAATAATTGAGGCAGCCTAAAAGAGCTTTATGGTTCCCGAGGCGCGTCAACTGTGGCGCCCATTCGGAGCACATCCTACACGTGTGCACGTCTACGTTTGAATCCCACCACCTGAGCCCTTTGAACACCAGCGCACAGACCCACACTGTCTTTCTGTCCCTCTAGCTACTTTTCCTGCTTGCCGGGCTGGTTTCTGCTGGGTGATTAACGACCCCAGATAGTGTAAGGAATTTGGCTTCTCAAGCTCAGCATTTTCAATTCCTTAATTTGTCCCCAGGTGATCGTTAGCGATCGCGGCTGTAGATCACATGGGGGGGGGGAGCGGGTCAGGTAGAGTGAGCAGCTGATTCAACACTGTTGAGTTGGGGTTTGGTTTCGATTTTTAAAGGCAGTTCAGAAAGCGGCCCCTGGAGAACTTCAAGAAGGCTGCGGAGGTCCCCGACTAGCCTTTGGGCTGTCACCACGCTCATTCTTTATAAACTGTAAAGCGCTAGCTAGCAAGTCGCAAACTCCCTGGGGCCTTAGTCTCTGATGTAGGTGGGGCAGACAGGTGAGGAAACGGAAGATCAGAAGTGTCCTGCCCCTAAATCCAAGGCCTCACTTTGCTGCGGGTCAGGCCTGTTCCTGTAACCTATTCACCACAGAGCAGCAACAGAGGCTACTCCAGATGCAGCCTCAGTTTGCCATTTTTCTAGCTGTTCAGGTTAGAAGTGAGTTAGACTGCCCTCCAACTCCTCAGTCCTGACTGCTGTCATCTCATTTAAAGAGGAGTTACTGTCCCTCCGGAGGGGCTGGGGGTGGGGTCTAGAACATTACAGGTTGTCCCAAAGAGCTGTCACAATCTCTTTGGCAGCTTGGCTTTAGAGGAGCTTTAAAAATACTCCTTTCCTGCCCTGTCCCTCTCTCCTTCCTGAAAAAGCAGGTGGCTGCCCTGGGGGCAAAGCCTTTAGAGGCAGCTCCCTTCAAGGACCTCCTGGACTTCCAAATGCTAGGGAGAGTATGAGGGGAGAGGTGGGAGATGAGGAAGGAGAAACGGAATGGGGAAGAATCTTTGTCCTTGTTTTCCTGGGTCTTTCAGGCTGGGGCAGACTGTTTCTGCTCAGAGGGGGCAGAAATTTGCTCCTTACCTCCCCTCTGATGACTAGGGCACTGGTAGGCTGCTGCTTCCAGCCTGCTATGCCTCTGAAGGGGTCTGGGGGAAGGGGTGGTGGGAAAAAGAGGGTATCAGCATCCTCTAGGTGGTAGGGGGTTGGCTGGAGCACATAAGAGGATCCTCTGACTCACACAGAAGGGTGAGCATCCACAGTCTACTGGAGGGCAAGAGTTTGATCCACTGGACTGTCTTCTCTGAGGTACCAGGTTTGTAATGTCTGAACTCACACCGCATTGTGATTATACATTTATATAAAACAAACCTAGAACATTAGACTTGTCTCAACCAGATTGGAAACTGGCGTTTTTCTACCCTTCCTGGAACTGACAATCCTCTCCAAGATGAAGACCCCACGCATTCCTGAAAACTTCAGCCAGTCTGAAAATTCTGACTGAGGCCAGGCAGGGTAATAGGGAGGACCAGTCCCTCTGTAGGCCTGTGAAATGCAGCAGTGTACCTAAAGATGTACAAAGGAACATGGGAGTGTGTGGGGTGAAATCAGTCGAAGAACCTTTATGAAAACATGAGGGAAGGAAGGAGGTGATCAAAGTAATGCATTTGCTTTCACTGGTTGACTGACAGGATTTGGTGTAGGTTGGATAAGTTTACCACTGGTTGCAGAGACCTGTGCCTCAGGCAGGGATATGGGGGAGGGAGCTACTCAGAACTGGAAGGGAAAAGAGGCAGATACCAAAAAATTCTCCTACATTCTGGGATATGTGACACAACTCCTTGTCACACATATATAGCACATATACATATACAAATTCATTTAGCTAAAAAACCTTAACCTGAAGAAAACAAACATTCACGAGTTCATTCATTCACTCAACAAAAATATCATTGAATGTCTATGGTGTGCAGGGCATTTTACTATGCTCTCCTTTGTAGAAATGCATGTGTGTCTGTGTACAAGTTCATCCTGCAAACTCTGCTCTGGCTTCATGGAAGGTTCGTGAGAGTTTCAGCTGTCAACAGTCAGAATGATGGGGGCTCAGACTTCAAGATGCACACACTTTGGGTCAGTGCCAGAGGTGATAAAGAGTTTGCTGGCACCCTATGAGTTCACGCTTTTCCTGCACTGCATCTGTGGAAGCTCCAGTCCGGCTACCATAGGATGGGAAATACTTAGAAACAGTATGCTAAATCCTCTTTACACAATGCTTTTCGTTTCTAAAGCCTGTTTTCCTTCCAGGAGCGGTCTAAGGAGCTGGGGAATCACAAACTCTGCAACCAAAGAAAATCTTTTCAAAGCATATGCCAGAAAGGAGAGACTGATTTAGGGTAATTTCCACAGGTGCACACTTCAATAGCATGCTCACACACCCAAACACACACACACACATATATATATATACAAATACACACATTACTATACAAATTCATTTACATAGCATGAACCATATTTACAGAAAAAGCAGAATAGGAGAAGGGTGCCTTCAGTTTTCCCTACTAGGCAAATTCAGAAACTCTTCTAGTAGGCTTAAAATATCACTGAGTTTTTTAACAGTCTTTTTCATAAGTCCCTATCACCTTATTTGCTTTATCGGTGGGTTACCAGCTCAGAAAACACTACCCTAAAAGGGTAGCAACAAATGAGCCAATGCCCTGTGGCTTCTCAGCATAATCGGTGAAAATCAGATTTACACTCCCTCGTAGCAGTGCTCAGAACCTCTGAGATCTAACGGAACTGGTGATGAGGTTCAGCATCTTTGGCGTAGGTATTTGTATGTACAAGCATATTCCTGGGCTGTGACTTTGAATTCTAAGTTCCAAGTCAAGCAGAGAGATACCAGTATAAAGATTCTGTCTAGAAGTATCTTTGGGGGGGTTTCCACCTGGGGGAGAGTGTGGCACAGGGCTAGAGAGGAAGGTAAGATGAACCCAAAACAGGAAAGCTGGCTACAAGCTGCAATAGAAGAAAACGCTGCTGGAGGGGCTAGAGGCATAGCAGAGGGTGGGAACTGAACGCCACCGGAACTCATCCAGATGCCGTTGCGTTCAAGCAAATGCCGCACCAACGGCCGAGGCGGGTACAATTTCCCCCAACGCGAAGGTAGAGAGGAGAGGGTACTGGGAGCCGGAGCTTTTCCTTTTACGGATTCACAGGTCAGCAGAAACTGCACAAGACCTCCCTAAATGTCCATTCGCCTTAGCTATGTTTAGTGAAATAGACAACGGAGAAAAACATCCAGCCCCATCAAGCTGAAAACATTTTCACTTTTACCCTAAACAAATGAAATAAACGGCTTTTCCTTTTCTGAACATCGCTCTTATTTTGCCATCTAGACTTTGGAAATGTAGCCTCGAAATTGAACGCGCACAATCATTTCCACTACACCTGTACAGGTGAGTCACGCTCTCACCCCCTGCGACGTCGGATCCCTAAATGACCGAGCTGGGCGGCTACCGCCCAGAAGGGAGTTCTGGCCGCGAGCTTCCTTCCCGGGCCCGGGTTCAGCGGCAGCGGTGCGGGCTGGTGGGAGAGGCACGGCCGCACCCCCCGGCGCAGGAGCCGGGCTGAAAGAGCCCGGCCCCGGCCGCTGCGCGCAGGAAGCGGGGCGGTGCTAAAGCCAGCCTTCGTGGCTCTGCGCTTTCTCTCGGTCACGGGGGAGAGTGGAGGCTTCCTCAACTCCTGCGTGCCTGCGATATTCAGACGCAGACCAGCCTGGGGAGCCTGCCTTTGTTCCCGGCGGGAAGCCGCCGCGCGGAGTTCGGGGCGGGGGGTGGGGGAAGAAAAAGCAAGGGGAGGCGGCGGGGCCGAGCTCCCGACCAAAACCCTCTCGGAAGCCCGCTCTGCGTCCCACTGTGCCTTTCGGTCCCGAGGCCTACTTGTACCTGACGCTCCTCGGGCCTTCACACGCGCATGACCTGGAGAAGTCTTGGATCCGGGCGCCCTGGAGCCCTGCGACCCCTCGCGAGGTTTCCGAGCGCCCCCCCACCCCACACCGACCCCGCCAACATGAGCGGGCTGCGAAGGCATGTACCGCACCCCCACAACCCCACACACACCTTATTTCTAGGGTCTAGAGGTAGAGGAGGGTTGAAGCTCCTTATCTACCCTAGCCCGGCATTGCCCACTTCTCCGTCTTAAGCAGGGAAAAAGAGAAAGAAAGAAAAACCCTTTGGAGCTTTAACATCTTGCCCCCCCCATGCCTCCCCCCACCAGATTTTGAAAAGCGGCTGCCTCCTCCTCTTTCCCAACAAGGGTCTGTCCCGCAGGGCACAACTTCGGAGAAATGGGCCCACGCGGTGAATTCTATGGAGTCGGCGGGCCAGGCCCCGACAGACAGTTGGCGCTGCGCGGCAGCCGGAGCGGGCTCGTCCTGAAGGCCGAGGCCCAGCGCTTGTGGAGCCCATTTGCTTCGAGTTCCCAGCCTGACATTCCCCAGCTCAGGAAACGTCCCCTCCTCCTGCCGGGGGAGGGTGCCCCCTTTTTCAGCGCTGTGGGCCAGAGAGGGAAGGAGGTAAAACCCCGCTCATAAACCCCGAATCCCCGCCGTGGTTTTGTGGAGCGGGCTCTGGCTTTGTTTCGGGCTCGGTGCTCAGGGCTTTTACTTTACACTCTCGCGGCTCGCACAGCCGACTGCTATGCTGCTCAGCCGGCTCGCCGGCCACCCCAGCCCCTGCGCCTGGAAGGACAAGCCCCCCAGGCCCAGGCGCCCGCCCACGGCCCGCGGGAGGCCAAGCGCTCCGCTTCCCGTTCACCCGCCTTATCCTCTAGCACAGGAAGGTCTTAGGGGCTCTTGATGCTAAGACATTAACCCCCTGGCGTCGCACAGAGCACAAAAGTTGCCGTCTCTTGCTCCGACTGTGAAGGGTGCGGCCGATGAGCTTGGATCCCGCCCCGCCGCCCGCGGCCCCCGACCGGGTCCTGGCTGGAGGCGGGCGGCCTGGGCCGGCTTTGCGTCGTCCCGGGGGCCCGCTGGCGATGCCCGGATTCCAGCCAAGAAACGCCCCCGGAGCGAGCCGACGAGCGCACCCGCGTGTGAACGAGAACTTCTGACTTCCGTGGCAGCAGCTAGACTTCAGGGCAGGCCGGAGCCGGCATTTCCACGGTCGGAATCGGCGAGCGCCTGGCAGGGTCCACGGCCCGCTCCTCCCTTTGCTATCGAGTCCCCTCGAGGTTGTGGGCGGGAGCCGGGGGTCTTGGAACCAGGGGGCTAGCGCGGCGGGGCAGGGACGCGTGTTCGGGCTCCGGGGCGGGAGGTCTCGGGAAAGGCCCAGAATCCCAGGAATCTCTGGCCTCTCGCCCTCGCCCCGAGGTCGTTAGCACCCCAGGGCCCGCTGTCTGCGGCCGCCGCCCCGCCGCCTTCTCAGCTTCTGAACTTTTCCATTTCCAAAAACTAAAGGAGAACTGTTGTGACACATCTTCTGCACATTCTCGTGGAATCACCTCCTGTCGAAGAGAGTGTGGTAATCAGTTCCTAAATTGTCTCCTCACTTGCCCTTTTTTTATCACTCCTCAACCTCGGGTGAAGAAGCAGCACTTGGAGGGGAACAAGTAGTAAAACGCGTACTAGCGTGAGGTGGAGGAAATTTAAGTCACAAGACTGCCCCCAGGTGATAGTTTTCAGCAACAGCATTTCTGCACGATTTGAGGTAGCTCTATATCTGTACTGAGCTAATGTCATCTGTGGTAGAAAAGTTATTGGATTCAAACGTTTATGTTAATCCCCCCAGAAAAGGAGAAATGTCCCCGAGAAACCTCTTTCCCATAGCTGCTGTGAAATTGTTCAATTTGTCTTTCTAGCCTCACTACCATTAACATTTGATAACTGCGTTTTCAAAATCGAACTCTCCCCTCCCCAAGGTGCAGACCTGCTCCCACCCGTCTTCCCCCCACCCCTTCTTCACCGTCTCCTCCTTCTGAAACCATAGCGCGGGCTGCTGGAGTCAGTCTGATGATATAATTCTTAAGGCATTCTCGGGCAGACCAAGGGCCAAGCTATCAAAGGGTTCAGCTTCTTCTTCTTTTTCTTCTTTTTTAAAAAGCTGTTTACTATTCAGGAAATTTGGTAATTATTATTTTTTTTCTCCATGTAGTGGTATTACCCTCTTCTTTTGATATTAGATCCTCTGTGGGGCCGTAGCTTCATGCCGTAGAGACAGGAGAAAGATGAAGGGGCTGAATTCTGCATCAGAATGTAATTTTCCTTTATGTCATCATTGTTGCTAAAGACCAGCTGAGGGCTTGCAATAGAACAGGAACCCCCGGAACAGGCAGAGGGTCCTCATGCTTCTAGGAGCAGAAGAGAATGCTAATTTCATTTATTCTTTCACACCACAAACTTGGGATTTTTATATACTTCACTGCATCAAAATACTTTCAGTATTTTTATAGCAGGATTGAAAAGTCACCTTAGGAAGGAAAAGTGAAGATAATAACCAAATTTTAAAAATCATTTGTTTAGAATGCATCACAATGAACCATGTTTTTTTCAGGGGGTGTCACTGATAGGTATTAATATCCTTACGATGTTATCATGTTTATCTAGGTTTTCCCTGTGCCTAGCATAGTGCCTTTCTCATTGCAAGTATCAATGAATATATGTTGAATGAAAGGACAAATGAAATATAAAGCAAAGGAGCACAAAAGGGATTGGATAGGTAACTTCATTCACTTAAAAATCCCTCCATGACATATCTCTTGAGTGAATGTGTCATGCAAAGCAAAACTATTTTTGCTGGATTGTGAGAGATTGACCATGTTAAATGGGTTTAAGTTTTATCTTACTAACTAAAGTGTCATGTATTGAGATCAGGAACTCAGTGTTAACACTTTCATTATGTACAATGTCTTTCATATTTCTGGGCACATTATCAATCATATTAAAGTATGGGGAAGGGGAAGCCTCAACTTAAGATAGAAAATGTTGAGAGAAATGTAGTGTTAAGGTATCCCTTTGGGCAGTGCCAGATATCCTGGTAGAGGGACGACAGGTCAAGGGGTAGGGAAATTTCTGTTCAGACTCCTCCTTTAATCAGACGATATAGTCTCCTGTCTAGATTCCTCCCAGAACCAGTATCTTCTCCTCAGAGACCTTCCCCCATAGGCTATGAAAGCATAGAGAACAGGATGTGTTGACCAGAGGATGACGCTTCCATGTTACATCCCGCCTCACTCCCACCACCCATAGCTTTTTTAGCTTCTCTAGTTTAAGCTCAACAGGTTTGTGTGAGCACTAACCAGATCATCACAAACTTTCCGTCCACTGGGGCACTAGTTTGGCCTATTTCAAGCACATCATCATAATCTTTCCTATAAATTCATGTTATTTGGCCAAAGGAAATTTGGAAAGCGCCAAAGCGCTTTAATATATTCTTACTGGAGATTTTGTTTTTGGAAAATATTTGCCAATCAACTGGATTTCCCCATAGGAGCCAAGTCATCACAGAGGTTTATATGCCTGTGTAACACTGTCTAATAAAAAAAATAAAAGAGACATAAAATGTACTTTCAAGGAGCCTTCTGTTTTTCACCACTTTTTATATTTTTCATTTAAAATTTCCCCATGGCAAGCATAGGTAATCAGGATCAAGTTGTTCATCATTCCTTGTGGCTTTCCACATGGAGAGACTTTCTGCTTCTTCAGGAGCCATCTCATTATCACCCTGCACCTAGGCATAAAGCATGATACACCAACATTTAAAATGCTGGCTCTCCAAACCATGAATAGTTCATCCTTTTATTTCTCACTGTGTTTCTGCTTAGCATGTTCAAAAGTCCAAAATACTTAATTTGAATGTTGGCTAAATTGGAGGCCAGTGTTGAGTCTGCTCCTAAATATACCAAGTCAGAAGTATTTTCTGTCTCATCCACACATCTCATAATGGTGAGTAACAACTGTCACTAAGGCAGGGTGCTTTCCTTTGATCAGTTAAAATTTTTCTAAAGGATTAAAGGATTGAAAGCTGACTAGAAAGCAATGGGGCTGATATATTTTTTTAAGTACCAAAATTTATTTATTCAAATTGGAGTTGTCCTTCAAAGAAGTAACCCTGGGATTCTATACCTTATTCAAATGATTGCTCAAGACATTTTTGGAATGCCTCTCTTGGAAATGTCTTTAGGGATAGCTTACTAGCCACATGAAAGATGGCATCATCACTTACTTCAATACTATTTTCCTCCTTGCTGGCTAAGACGTGTACACTCCTGGAATTCAAAGCTGCCCAAACCGAGAAACTAACTCTAAAAGCTAGGTGTGTGAAGTGCAAAGCGGCACTTTTTCCCCAGAGAGAGTAACGTGTCACTTCAACGGTGTCCTTATGACAGACACACAGCAAGTAAAACAGTGGCAGAAAGCAACCGTGGGCCAGTCCCAACTATATCCAGTGACTCTAGAGCTCCAGAGCAAAGCAGCTCCAAGAAGCCAGCAGATTCCTATGGGGGTGCCTGCCTAGAGGGCCCCAGATCCAAGGGTCCTTTTATTTGAGACCGAGCTTGTTCCAGGAAGCATCCCTATTTGGAAATTTTGAGATATCATTAGATGGTCTCAGAGGAAATGGGATAAATTGACTGTCAGGCCCTTCACCTTCCCAACCCCTCTAACAAAAACAAACAAAAAAACAAAAAACACATCATTTAGACTAGGAGTCACACTAGTAGGGCCAAACAGCAGAATTACAAAACTTTGCTGATGGCTTAAATGATGATGGATCATCTATAGATTAAGAAATAACTGCCCAGTGACCAACCACGTGTTTCTGAATGTGCCCGACATAATCTTCCAAAGTGCAGGCCAAGGAAAAACTTAATGCTCACCACCCAGCACAGGCCTCTTACCCTAGGAGATGTGGAGATACAGGAAATCTTGTGCTACAGCCTATGTGCAATATTAGCAGCTGCAGGTAAAGGAAGTGTTCCCTTTGCTTCTCATTGATACTGCCAGATCATTCTCTCTCTCTATTCCCTAAAACTCTGATTTTGAAACTAGTCATTAGCCTATAGCCTCCTAAGACCATTCTCCTCGATTTCTTAAAGATTTAATTCCTGGCTTACACTCACTTATATTCATTCTAATCTGGGCATAGTCTTTGTGCTTGCACAGTGAAATAAATGATGTTTGCAATATTGCAGCTTCTTTGACCTTCTCCAGAGATAATGTTTTCCTCCCTATATCAACAATCATTCCTTAGGCCATTCCCTCCAACTTTGTCAGTATCAAGAACTGCTTGCCCACAATCTTGAATTCAAACTAAGACCAACATCTCCTGTCTTTCCAGCTTACTCTCTCAATTCTTTGACATCACTGGGGCCTTCAGTCAATTGATCTTGCCCCCTTTTCACTGTCTCCACATCCCTCACACCCTCACTTTCCCCTTGGCCCCATTTGGGTGCCATAGCTAATTATTATACATACTTAAGTCCTTAGCCATTTTGCTCTTTTGTTGCAGTTACCCAGCAAAGCCCAGTTCTAGGTTAATTTCCAGTTTCCCTACATACTGCCTACACCCACAAAGCGGAATGTGGCTGGAGCAAAACAATCAACTTTATTGGCTGCTCTCATAAATTCATGTTCTCTAGTTTCTTGAGAGCCCTTAAATGCAGCCTGGAAATTCTATTACATGTCCCTAGTCCTTTCCCTTTCCTTTTCCCTATGGGACTACTTTACACCTCCCCCGTCTCTCTCCTCAAACCTCCATCATGCCCTCCCTCATCCTAATTTTCTGCTGCAGACCTTGATTCCTTTTTTACTAAGAAAACTGAAGCAGTGAACAGACATACTTGCTTTCCTACAACACACAAAAGTCCACCTGCATTCTACATCCAGATAGTCTTCCTTTTCCTGTCTCTTCTCCTATCTATTTCCAACCTGTTCACAGGTGTCCTAGATCCCATCCTGTCTCACTCAAAGACACTGCTTCAGTAATTGTTCTCTCTCACTCCTGCTTCATAAAATTTTCTGATTTACTGGATCATTGTCATCAACATACACACATGCAATTTTCCCCCCTTCCCAACTTAAAAAGTAACACAACTCTCCTGAATCCATCCATATCAATGTCATACTGTCCCATTACAGCATCACTGTTTGCAAGTCTGTCAAGATGATCATCTCTCATGTCTCTTGCCATTTCCCCTAATTCTATTAAACTTTTGACCTCACCATCCACACAAACTGCGTTGATCAAGGTCACCAACGAGCCCCAAATTGTTAAAG